ATTATATTATATTATATTATTTATATTATGTGTGTATATATATGATATATATATATATATGCACACGTGTATGTTTACATATCTATATGTACGTCTATATACCATACCTACATGCCAGCATTCCGACAGACTCAAGCACACCTTAAGGCTTTCTCCGACTCCAGTCGGAGGGCGCTCCGGACCTTCCGCTGTCCTACCCGGACGCGCCTGATCGGCCCACTGTTTTCGAGGCAAGCGTGGCTCCCTGGTCCAAAGAGCACTCGAGGTTGGGCTTGGAAGTCATGGAGTTCGGTTTAAAGGGGTTGCAAAAAACTAGAGCGGCGGCTTGAGCCGAATATTAGGGGGCTGCTTGATTTTTGTTTTTGTGTTGAGAGCGGGGGTCTACGGCTACAAGGGTTCATATTTGTCTACCTACCTGCCAACCTACAGACGTTCATAATACTTGTCCATGTAAAAACTCGTGGGAACGAATCATAAGGTTCAGGATAACAGTGGTAATGGTCATCATCACCACATTTGGTTGATTCATAATCGCCCTATCATCATCATCATCATCATCATAGTCCTATTTGTGATTTGCTTTTACTTGTAGTAGTACATCCAACGCGCGAGCCCATGCTGATAATCACGGTCGTCATCCGAGCCCTAATCCCCTAAACCCTAAACCCCAACTTCCATTTTTCAATCCTCCAAAAGAACTCTAATTCCGAACCCGCCTCTGAGGATTTCGACATGTCGCGGATCCTCGACCCAATCATCGACTCGAGGCTTCTCCGGCACTTGGGGTTTAGGGCTTCTAGGATTTGTTATTGGAAATAGGGTTCCGGGTCTGGGATGTTGTTGTTTTCAGGTTTGCAGTTTTATGGGTGTTGGTGTTGAGTTTCAGGGTTTGATCTGTTTTACAATGGGACTCCAGCGTTTGGATATTTTTTGGGGTTTAGGGGTTTGAAGAGAGATTGATTTAGGGTTTTGGTTTCAGTTGGGGTTGTGATGGTGTCACGGCTCTTAGAGGCGCTCAAGCAGCCTCGAAATGGAGGCCACGGGATCCAAGTTCGGGTTGCGATGTATGGCGTCATGTCGTGTTTGCCATGCTTCGGTTCCGTGGTTTTGTCCTTGTTCTGCCTCTTATATATTCAATGGCGCGGCAAGGTAAGGGGGGGTGTCTTGAAACTTCTCAGCCAGTTTTCATTTATACACAGCAGCTCAAGAGCCCAAACAGTGTTTTGAAAGCTTCGCACCCGGGACCCTTGTACTTCCCGATACTCAAGGAAGTGGTTCGATGCTGTCCTGGATTCCGGGCTGCTGGACTTCATGCTCCAGAAGAAGTGAGGAATATCGGAGCCTGAGTACTTTGTCACCTAAGTTCGTGCCAAGTGTCTGATCAGACCCCTGCTTCGTTTATTTAGGCGCCGACATTGGCTCCCATCGGACAAAGCACCGGTGGTTTCGGAGAAGGCGCTTTTCGGTGCAAAAAGCCGTCTGACTCCAGCACAGATCAACTCTATATGTAGGATCCTTATAACACGTTATCTAACACTCTCTATAAAACCCCAAACCCGAAGCCCAAATTCACGAAGTTGTTGAAGCATGGACGGGTGACCGCAGCCACCGACGGCGGCTCGACTCCGTAGGGAGCAGCCGCCGAAGGCGAGCAGCCAGGACCGACACAACATGCATTGCGAAATGCTCGGCTGAGACGAAATATAGATGATGGTTTGATATGGATGACTAAATACTTGCTAATGGTATTCCTTAGGGTTAAACCTTATTCTAAATGATTAAGGCCCCTACATTATCGGAGTCGGCCATGCTTCTGAACAAATGGGAGCCTCAGTGACTTTCAATGTTCGTCGTTTGGGGTTACGGTTGCAAAATGCGACGTTAGCTTAAGCTCTGCTCGAATCTCTTCGGTTTGACCCAGAACCGCGATCCGAACATTCGCATAGCTTATCGCTGCGACCAGGATTGTTGCTATGTCCTCTACTTTTCCATGGCTATTAGCAGCACTCGTAGTAGTCCTTGCTACCTGTGCTAGTACTCAGCTCTTCCACTCGCAGATAACCTGCTATTTGTGATTATTCTTGCAGGAGATGCGGAGGCGATCCGCAAGAATGAAGTTCTTGGCCTTTCTGCTGCATGCTGCTGTGGCATGGGGAGCCAAGCGGCTCCCTTGCAACTACTGCACAGCGGTGTCTGCTTTCCAAATGCCCGGCCAAGATTCGCCGAGCAAACACACTTTTACGACATGCACTGACTAGAAAATGGTCAGTGCCACTACATGCTAGCTTCCCTAGCGCCAAAGATGAAGGATAAGATGATTATTGGATCTCGCATAATGTCTTGGCTATCCTTCGAGGTTAAAGTAGATGATCCCAAGCGGAATGGCGAAGGATTCGACACGGAGATTACGCAAAGACGACCCCGGCATACTTGGAAATTGAGCTGAAAGCTGATGCTTGGCGATCTTCTTCCCCGTCCTGCACTTTAGAAGAGAGTCATTCGGGTGTAACTGGTTGAGATTCGCTTCCGGGTTGAAGGTCTAGGCTTCGAGGGGTTCAATGGTGCTGGAGTTAATGCCTGCATGTATCACTTTGGCCAGGAGCTGTGGCGGAACGCCATTCTCTGACACACTGCATAGATTCTCGACGTCTTGGCATTTCTTTACCCTTGCCGCCAAGGAGACTTTCGTGAACCCCTTGACGACAGTCGGTGAGCTCGGCGCCGCAAAGCTGTTCGACTCGACCGGCGCATGTCTGATCCTCAAACATTTGAAGCCGAGGTCGTCCTAGGCTGTAAGCTGTAGGGCACTGTAGGGTTAAAAGTCTACTGTGGAACGTGATGATGCATATACTTGACTGAGAAGTTAGAAGATGCAGACAACGAGATCTTCAGGCTTGGAAAAACATTTCTGTTGCTCCAGTTTTTGGATGCTGAGCGTGTATCTCACATCGGGCCCCGAAACCCAACACCCTAGACCCTCAACTCCTCAACCCTCAAAACAAAACCCATGCCCGAAACCAGCAACACGAACCGTAATAGCTGAACTCTCTGACCACGACGTGAGCCTCGTGCCCAGGCATTAGCTGCAAGATGCCGATGCTTTGGACGCTGCAAGCGGACAAGACCAAGAAGGACTTAAGTTTGAGTGAAGCGCCACCTAGATCGCCCAAGCACCCTCTGTTGGACCCAAATACTCAATACATGCGGACCATAAGTGCAGTGAGGCTAGTTTGGAGGGCCTGGCTTGATCACCGGGTGCACAGGGCATCGTGAATTCCGAAGTCGTCCCGGGCCAGAACATCAGTGCGGCGCTCATGCTTTGTGTTGTTAGCACGGTCCCAGGTTATGGAGTTCAGTGAAAATTCAGGGGCAGGGTTGCAGGGTTGCCTGTGGTGCAGTATGTTTGCCACCGTCGTTGCAGTCTTGTGTCCCCTGAAAAAACCCCAAATCATGACCCAAAGCATTCGTCGACCTCGGTCCAAACTCGCCACACTTCATGAAACTTCGAGGCAGCCTGAAAGTTTGAAAGTTAATTCCTGCCGGATTCAGGTTGAGGGTTCACCGTGCCTTGCACAAGATCCTGGCTTCTGGCCATCATGGCCACCTTTGTCCCATCACTGTTGATGCAGTTTGGAAATTGTCACCGCTGTTCGTAACTTCGAGCAGTGTGAGCCTCTTTGTCATAAGCAACGCAAAAAACCAAGAGTTTGATCCGACCCGCGAATAATCGCAGCAGTCTAAACCCGCCCCCAAAGAGCAAGATGATTGTCAGAGTATCCATATCTAGAACTGAGAGAAAACAGGCAGCAGTTATCAATCTACCATGCGTAGCAGGAGTCATCATCATCTTCTTCTGATACGAGTGGAATGGTACTTTGGACCAAGGCTTTCCGGTGAATCCACTGTCGCCCTACGATGTTCTGAGCCTCGGTGGCATCATTGGGTGCATGCCAGAAGGCTTAACAAGTCTTGGGGTTCAGGGTTTAGGGATTAGAGTTCTTAGATCTGGGAGCCCTAAATGTTGCTGTACTCCGGAGCCCCCCGGATCCCCAAGTCCTCCCCCCCCCCACACCACCGAAGCCTGCACACCAAACAGCCCCAGAACCTCGATCGCCCCCGTACCGGTTCAGTCAGAAAGTTCCGATCTTCCGCCCTTCTGGAGATTAACACCTACTTCGGACTTCGGAGCCTTAAACCCAAAAGCCCTCCCCGGCCTCCTTGAAAGGCTGACCTATCCTGTCAGCGTGCCTCACGACAAGATGGACTTCAAGCTCCAGATCCTCTCCTCCGTCGCCGCCGATGGCGGGGTCCTCAAACGGCCTTTAGAACTGGTGTACCCAAGAGGGGCTTTACTGTTTGGGCCTGGTTTAGGCTTCAGAGTTTAGGGTTTAGGACTTAGATAGATGTAGTGTTTAGGGCTTGTGGGGGTTATGTCGGGCTCAGGGTCCAACGGGTTCGGTTTAGGCGGTTGAAGTCTGATCTTGTACAGAATTTTATATAATCCCCAGAATTCAGAACCATCGGCCAACCGGCTCTCGAAGATTCTTGCTGAAGAATGTCCTAAATCGGAGTTTTACGGGGGATCCTTTAAAATAGAGCCGACCGACCCGCTCTAAGAAATCTTCAAAGGCTTCAGCTGAGTCCTGGGGCTTCGGGCGTCTTAGCCGTTTCAAGGAGCTCAGAGTTTTGCAAAGCTTCTGGGGTTCATGGCTACCCTAGGCGTTTGACGTTTTGTTTGGCTTCGTTTGCTGTTTGTGGCCTTGGGATGCATCGGCAGGAAATTCTTGACCCGGCCATACCCCGGTTCCTTGACCTTCAACCCGAATTGTTAACCCCAATCCTGAATACTCGGATTTGGTATTATCGGCTTCAGGGGTTCAGTGGCGCGTCTAGGGTGTATAGGCTGGTGTATAGCACTACGTTCTTCGGCGTTTGTCGTGGGAGGTTGGGATTCAAGGCTAGCCCCCGTGCCTTCAGATGCCCGGTGCTCGCAGAGTACCCCTGAAAAGGGACCCTATTATATCACCCTCTAGTACCCCTTAAAGGGGACCCTCTTATAGAACCCTTTGGTACCGGAACCCCATAGTACCCCTTAAAGGGGACCCTATTATAGAACCCTAAGGTGTCAAGACTTGATCGCCAAATCTTCAGGCTCTCTGACACATCGTCACTGGGCGCGAAGCCTTAAAATCCAATAAAGCCTAAACCCTAAAAACTTGGGTCTAAGGTTTAGGGTTTAAGGTTTAGGTTTTAAGGTTTAGGGTTTAGGAACCCCAAAAACCCTGCATTCCTGAACCCAGAAGCCCGAGAAGGGTGTAGAGTTGGCCCTGCGCAGGCGCCAACGCGAGGGAGGAGAGAGACCGGCAAGTGATCAGCACCTGGTCTGACGGTTTTTATGTCATCGAGTCGCTATTGGGCTCTGATTTTGGCCCAAGTAGGTTATGCTCAGTATTCTCTTGTGGTACTTTCAAGCTGCAGTTCCAACTTCCAAGTTCGGCACCACTGCCCCTCTCGGCAGCTTCTCCGATGCTAAGATCCATCGCATGATCAGGAAGCTATCCTACGTACTCTGGAAAGATTTCTATGCAGGACAAATCGGGAGTACCCTCTGTAGCCCTAAATCCCCAAAGCCTACAGCCCCCAAACATCCTAAGTCCCATAGCTCGAAGTTCCTCCCGCCCAGATTGGAAGCTGGCAATGCTCCTGCACTCTACGACCAGGTCTCTTGGATGCAGATGCTGCAAAGTTCAGCCGTTGAAGGATGCTGTAGTAGGCTATAGGGGTTCTAGAAGCAAGGGTCCCCTTCAAGGGCTACTATGGGGTTCCGGTACTACAGGGTTCTACAATAGGGTTCCCTTTAAGGGACACTTTAGGGTTCTGTATTCGGGTCCCCTTTATGGGGTGCTGTAGGGTTCTATAATGGGGTCCCCGCTAAAGGCCCTCAACCCCAAGCTTGCAACCTCGAAGGAAGCCGAAGCGAGAGAAGCTCCACTGAAGCCGCGCATCCATCGCTTCCGACTGCCAAGGAAGGCCTACATCAAGACGGCCCGGATCCTAAAGATGTCTTTGGTATCTTATTCCTTCAGGGTCGAGTGGGCTCGGGTTTCGTTAAGCTGTGGTGCTCAGTCGGTCGAGGCTTGAGGGTTTTGCGGTGGAGCCTGAGTCGCACAGGCAAAAGGGTCCAGTAGAGGTAGATCTCGTCACTACAAGAATACTAAGCACTCTAAGATTTTACTAAGCAAGAGTGCAAAGATGAGCATAGAAAACCAACCCCCAAACCTTATGCGCGATGTTTAGCTCCCTTGGCTGTGAGTCTGCTTCTGCAAACTGAAAACCCTACAGTGAGTCCAGGCCGAAAACCCTGATGCCCAAACCCCTACCATGCCCAGGATCTGGACATGAGGGTGAACTTCACTGGCGTAGTGGCGGGCGAGGCGAGTGCTGGGATCCCGAAGAGAGCCGAGGACCGTCGGCGCGTGTGTGAGTTCGTAGGCATCATCCCACGGAGTAGTCTTTTTGTAGTACCCGTGTAGTACCCGCAGCACAACCGCATCAGAAGCATCGTCGCCTGCATCAGCATCATCAGCAGCATCCTCGGGGCTGCGGGCTTGTCAAGGTCTGGAGACTGAAGGGCTTGAGCTGTTGAGGCTGCTGCGTGAACGGCCTGGGTTGCATCTTGAAGCATTGGCCTTCCAAAGCCGCAGCGGCCAATTCGAGGTTTCCGGTGCCTTGAGACATCAAAGGGGTTGGCCTCTGGAGTTTGAACTCACCTGGAGACCTGTGCTTGTTAAGTACGGAGCTGCTTAGCGTCCTACGAAGCCCTAGATCCCACCCAAACCATTAGACTCCCACTCCCCCGGCCCCTTGTCACATCAGGACGTTCGATCCGATGTCGGGCTCTAAGCTTTCGATGCAAGTGCCCACGGTCAGCTGGCTTCGTCTGGTACCTTAAGCCACTTTCAATCGCTTAGGTCTGCCTCCGTCCAGATGTGACGAACTACTCGGTCACGGAGGCCCCGATGTTCCAGGAAGTAGCCTTCAAAAGTCGCAGTGCATTATCAGGTTTAAGTTTTAGGGTTTGTGTTTCAGTGATTAGGGTATTTTAGGGTTTCGGGTCTATGTTTCAGGGTTTAGGCTTCAGGAATGATGTTTCAGGTTTCGTCTTGGTTGAAAGAGTGGCACCACCGCACCGTTGGTTCAGAAGCCTCGATGCAAGAAGCCGCAAGACGACTCGAACCCCCTGGAGGACCCGAAGTCTAACCCTGCCCTAAAGGAGTTTAGGCTTAGGTGTTAGAGTTTGGGGTGTAGGGTCTGGCGCCGAGCGTCTGAAATCCCGAAGCCCCAAACCCCGACACACTGAACCCTAATTGTCAGCACTTACACAGGTGAGTATCATCAAGAGCCACTTCGCCGTCACCGTGAACTGTGCTCCAGGATATATGGGGAAGCCAGTCGTCAGTATTTGTCCCGAGGCGAGTCGCCAGACTGAATTCGGTCTTAAGGCAGAGAGGATTGGTATTTTAGGGTTTTGTTTGCCTACAGTTTAGGTTTCATGCGTGTAGAGAAATTACCCTAAACCCATGAAGTGACCTAGTGAAGTGGAGGGACAAGGAAGAACAAACACACAACCTAAAACCCTGAGCCCTAAAGGCTTTGGGCGTTTAGGGGTTGGAGTTTAGGGCCCCTTAATTTCTGAGTTTCCATCCGAGGAGTCCAAGCACAAGGCCTTGAAGTCCCAAATGTAATGGATCCCTCTCATCATGTGTTTGAGGGCATAAACTAGAGTGCAGATACATGTATTCGGGGCGGTTCAGGTCTTCTGGGTTTTGTGGTCCTCTGGACAGGTTTTTCTTCCGGGATTTTGGAAAAGGCTTTGCGCCTCAAGGAGGTTCAGACAATGTCTTGTGCATGTTTGTTTTGAGGACTCGAAAACCATATACAGTCACAACGCTTTCATTCCCATCCTGACCTGAGTTGATGTCCTCACCGGATTCGAAGGTAAGCCATATGGCCTGGAGGGATGCAAGTCGGAGATGTGCGTCGCACCCTCCGTGTCCACGGGCTACAAGGTCTCGAAGGCGGGCGGCGAGGGTTCAGGTTGGCTTGCAAGTTCACTGCGTTTTGCGAGATCTTTCGACTTGGCAGGTGAGCCTGGAGAAGGCTAGCTTCAGCGCGACGGTTGAATGCGATGAAGGATTCGTGGGCAAGGCAGTGGTGGCGGCTTGCGGAAAGGATGGCGAAGCATTCATGTTGTCTGGCTGCGATGGCACCACCACGACCACTACGACTTCGACAATCACCAGCACCAAAACCACCACCTCGACAACGACGAAGACATCAACGACTACGACATCTACAGTGACAACCACGTCCACAACTTCTACGTCCACAACCACATCTACGAAGACGACCACCTCCACTACAACCAAGACCACGACAACCACAACGACCACCTCGACAACGACAGTGACCTCTACGACGACCAGCACTGTCACCACAACCACGTCCACATCCACGACCACAAAAACATCAACAACAACCACTACAACCAGCACATCAACTATAACTACAACAGTGACATCCACAACCATCACCTCCACAACCACCTCAACTTCAACTACAACAACTTCTACAACAACTGTCACAACCACCACAAAGACATCCACCACCACGTCAACTTCCACCACTTCAACATCTACCACCACTGTCACCACGGTCACTAGCACGAGCACTGTGACCACAACCTCGACTTCAACATCCACTTTGACAACAACAACTACGACGACAGAGACAACTACGAGCACGTCCACAGTGACAACAACGACCTCCACGTCAACAGTGACCACGACTACAGAGACTTCGACAACCACGGTGACATCCACAACCACAATCACCTCTACCACTTCTACGTCAACCGAGACGAGCACGAGCACCGTCACAACGACTGAAACTGAGACAAGCACAACCACCAGCACAAGTACAACAACTACGACAGAGACCTCCACGACGACCCATACCACCACCACCACTTCCACTGTCACTGAAACAAGTACCTCAACCACAACGAGCACGACTACAATCACGTCAACTTCAACGTTGACGACTACAGGTACGACAACAACCGTCACGGAGACGACCACGTCGACGACAACGGCAACTACCACAACCACCACGAGCACCACAACAACTGAGACCTCTACAACAACTGTGACATCCACAACCTCCACCTCTACGACGACAACAACATCGACTACAACTACAACCACAAGCACCACTACAGTTACCTCCACAAGCACGACAACATCGACAGCCACCACAACCTCAACGACTACCTCAACAAAGACCACGACAACCACGACATCGACCTCCACGTCCACGACCGTTACATCTACTTCGACGAGCACGGCCACCACTACCACAACCACGTCGACGACCACAACAACGGAGACAACCACTACCACCACCAGTACTGTGACTACCACTACAGTTACCTCCACAAGCACGACAACATCGACTACCACCACAACTACATCGACTGTTACAACGACAACCTCCACAAGCACGACAACCACCACAAAAACAACAACCACGACGACCTCGACCACAACGACCACGACAACAGTTACTACATTTCAGTCTACGTCTACCAGCACATCTACAGAGACATCGACAACCACCGTCACCACTACCACCACTTCTACCGAGACCACTACCACCACATCCACGTCCACCTCGACTACTACAAAAACCTCCACAGTGACAACAACCACTACAACGACGACCACTGTCACAAGCACCTCCACGACAACCACGACTTCGACCAGCACGACTACGACCACTTCGACCGTAACTTCGACGACTACTACAACATCGACAACCACGTCGACCTCCACGACGACGGAAACTTCCACGACCACATCCACAACAACATCCATAATCACATCGACCAGCACCACCACGACGACCTCGACCACCACAGTTACTACAACCACAATTACCACGACAAGCACGAGCACTTCGACCACCACCACAACATCAACTTCTACTACCACGTCCACCACCACCTCAACCACGACGATCACCTCTACCTCCACCTCCACCTCGACTACTACGACTTCAACCACCACTACAACTTCAACGTCCACGTCCACAACTACTTCCACTACTACCCTCACCACTACTACCATCACGAGCACATCGACGACAAGCACTTCCACGACAACGACGACCTCCACCAGCACGTCCACATCTACAAGCACAACAACTACCACCATCAATTATCCCGATACAGTTCTCTGCGTTTCCCCATCGGTCCCTGCACTGCATGTTTAGTATGCCCGCGCTGCAGAGTTCTTGTTCGATTTGAGCCGAGCACCACTTGCCCCAGGACACAACCGGGTATGTCATCTCGGAATATGTTCTCCGAGCGAACTCCTTCGATGCGGCTGTCGCTTGTGCGTCCGGCTACACCGGCTTCTGGGCCAAAGAGATAGTTCTATTTGTGTACCCTGAGCCCTAAACAATGATCACCTCAATTCACCCCAGACAGAGCTGTGCTGGACCCCACAAACATAGCCCCCTGAACAAAGATGGTACACGAAGGAAACTCGCGATCCGGTTCCGGCATGTGGAGTGTCTAAAGCTGCTGCTAGTCCGGATGTCCCACGAACTCCTCCATGCCCCAGAACCGAAGCTGGGTTTAGGGTTTGGGGGTTACGGGTTTAGCGTTCAGGGAAGACGGTGAACCCCGCTCAAAACCCACGAAAGACTGCTGTGGACACTTCAGGAAAGGCCTCCGTGAGAGTCTGCGAGAATCCCACCGAGGAGGCCGTCAGGGCTTCTCACTCCCCAAACTAAACCCCTTTAGCCCTCAGTCCTCAGCCCTGTAGGCCCCTAATAAACCCAGTAAGCCCTAAGCCCTCAAACCCCAAGTTGAGTATGCACCTTGCCGGGCTAAGGGCTTTGGTTTCCCCAAGACTCCTTGTCGTGCGAGGCTCCCACTTCCTACATCCTCAGCGGCTGCAAATAAAGGCCGAGCCGATGGGGGGATTTGGGATTCGGGGTTACTCGTTAGAGTTCCGCATGATACCCAGAGTGCAATCTTCTCGAAATTCCTATTCCAATAATTATGGCCTCGATGTTAGGGTTAAGGGTCGTGCGTTTTTGTGATATAGTCGGATCTGGCACGAGTCTTGAAAACCATGGTTTCAAGCTCACGAGATGTCACGAGTGACCTCGATGTTGAGTTTCTTTGTTGTTCTGGCGTTTGTGTCGTTCCTGTATGGACGGGGATCCTTTGTGTGTTTTCTTGGGTTGTGAGATGTTGTGCAGGGGCTTGTGTGCGCCGGTCGTGGTACTTACACAGAATTAGTTTGCTTGCGCCTGTTGTTCCGATGGCGCTCTTTGGTTCGGTTTCTGCAGCTGCCGTTCCCGTAGTTAATGAAGGTTATTGATACCTGTGGTGGTGTGCATTATGTATCTGTGTTGTTTGATGGGTTTCCGCATGTTTGGTTCCATGCATGCCGGAATTGCTTTGACTCCCTGCTTGTGTTGGAGTCCTCCATCTTGAAATCAAGCTTTCCCCAGCATCTTTTTTGCCACCAGGCATGCGGCTTCAACGAGTGAGCCTAGCTGGCCAACGGCGCCTTTGTACATAACATGTGAGAGGTGCCAGATGTGAAAAAGCTGGACTAGTCCAGATCTGCTGTCCTGCCAGCTGCTTTAGTACGTTGTCAAGCCCTACCTGCACACGACTAGTTCACCAAATTGGGATATCTGTTGGTGGTTTCCCAACCGGAGGCGTCACTGTTACAACTGTTACAATCAAGACCCCCCCTTCGAAACAAACAAGCTATCCAACTTTAGATCATCGCAGCTTAGCTGCACATGCAGGCACACAAGCTTTTGCGAGCCGCTGAAGCTGCCCGTGCAGCTGCCTTGTCTTTTGACACGTGCACTTGTTGGTTGTGCATGATGGACTCCATGCAAAGATGACAGCTACTATGATGCGGATGATGTTGACCGCGATTTGGTGGTGCTACCGGAGAGGATGCGGACGGCTGTCATGTGATCCATCCCCGTCAGCAGCATGAAGATCATTGCGCTTCTTCGGTGGATTCGGTGTTCGGCTTCTTGTATGCAGATTTGTGTGGGCACGAGGCGCAAGCGGCCGCTGCGGGCATCAAACACATGCTGGGGGTCCCAGCTTGCGGTTCTGCCTGTCACCATAATGACGAAGACAACGGATAAAGATGGTGCCGAAAGGTTATCAACCGGAAGGCGCATCGACTTTTGGCATGTTGTCCCTCAGAACCATCAACCCTAAACCTACACCCTGAGGCCCTAAAGCTCTAAAGCCTTAAAACCCTAACCCCCTAAGCCCTAAAACCTTAAAAACCTAAACCCCTAAAGCCCTAACCCCCTACAGCCCTAAAGCCCCAAAACCCTAAAACCCTAAAGCCCTAAAAGCGCAACTCTCAGAGCTCGGGCTCCCCCGCACCTGCCCGGGCCCGACCCGCAAGCATCGAAGTTGATAGTCTCAAGTAAGGGGGTAATTAATTCTCTTAGTTAGGGCCCCCTTTTGGGGTCCCCAATTACAGTACGGCACCTTTCGAAGAAGGGACCCTAAAAGGGACCGGAATTAGAGAACTACCCAAGTGGCAGCCTTGGCTTTCATGTGTGTGTGTGTGTGTTTTTTTTTTTCTTTTACGGTGTTTTTAGGGGTTCGGGCTTTTAAGGTTTTGGGGCTTTATGGTTTCGGGTATTTAAGGGTCTATAGGGTTTATGCAGAGACACTCAAACTCCGAAGTCTTGCTGCTGAAATTCTGAGTCCTTGGAGTCAAAAGTGGTCGACCCTGGTGCCGGTGGAGGCGATCTCCGAGCCGAAAGTTGTGAAGATGGTTTAGGTCTTCGGGGTGTGGGGCTTAGGGGTGTCGGGGTTTAGGGGTTCGGGGGAGAACTGTTTTTTAGGAGTTTAGGGATGAGGAGTTTAGAGTTTAGCGTCTAGGTGTTTAGGCTTTAGGATTCAAGCTTCCGAAAAGGTTCAAGGCTTAATTGGGCGTGAGAGGGATTTGTGAACTGCCTTAGCCTCCTTCCTGCATTGAAATACTGTGATTGCCAATCGAGGGATGCACACACTGGCGTTGAGCTTCCCTCCGAGCTTGCCGCATCTACTTGAAGGAGGTATACGCACTCAAGATGAGATCCCAGCTTCAATGGGTGAGCAGTGATCAAGTGACGGAATCGCATATGGGCTGCCATGGCCATACACCTTAAACCCTCGCCTTAAAAGTCTGAAGCCCGGAGCCAGGCCAGCAGAAGAGAGGTCTTCGCCGTCAGATTGGCTGAGTGCCGTTCCCAGCTGTCTTAGGTGTCAAGGTCCTTAGCGGCTTCGAGATCTTGAGGCTTTGAGGTGTGAGTTTGTCCAATCTTCTTTCTGGCATGGTTCATCGTGCTTCTGTTCCGTCAGTTTCCCATAGCCCGAAAAGCCAGACCTGAGACGTCAATTCAATGGTGAGGGCCATGCGTAGGGTTCGAGCAGTTTCCTCAGCCCGCAGTTTTGCTTACAACGCCTGGCTTCCCGCACCACAGAAGTCTAGAAGCAAGATCATCTCCAGCACATCGGATCAAGCTTGTGCCCACGATTCGATCCTGCGAAAATTCTTCCGCAGTCCGTGCCGAAGGAATGGCCAGCTGTTGTACACTCTTTGGGAGTTTGTGGACGCCATGCAGTCTGCGGCTTATGAGGGGGGGTTTGAACTGAAGTTTTGTGGTCGGAATGTACGACGTTGCTCAATGTTGCTTCCGGTCAGGCACGGCATTGTCGATCGTACACGTGGCAGCTACGACAGCGTCCCAGTTCCCATCGGTGCTTCATTTGAAGCATGGGCTGTGAGGAGGCACCTGAAACATGAAATGCGAAACCTCAAATACATACTATCACATTTAGTACTAGATGATTAGATGATACTCTATATAAAAATTTATATTGTGTATATATTATAGACACATTTCTATACATACATATATATATATATGTATATGTATATGCATTATATATATATACATACAGAATATATATGTATGTATTTGATTATGAAGTCTTCAGAGCACGTTTCCTTCAAGATCGAAGCCTGAGGTCCCAAAGCACGTCTTGGAGATGGCATTCGTTCGTTCGGAACTTGGTCTCCTTGTTGAGCTTGAGCTCAAGGTTTGCTGAGCATTATGCATCGTCTGTCAAGTGTCGAGGCCGCCAGGGGTGTAAGAGCCATGAGTTATGGCATGGAAGCTTGGAGTTTGGAATACAGGCTTGCTTCGCGGGGATGGGTGTAGTCGCGATGGCGCTTCCAGGCTGTGCAGCAGACAACCTGCTGCTTTGCAGCGCTTGCAAGGCGAGGGAACACTGTAATTAAGTGGCACATAAGACCCCCGTAAAGCTGCTCGCACCGTGGAGAAAGTTGTAGCAAAATCAATCGAATCTAGTTTGTAGTTGTGTGCAGCGCGAGGCTGAATGCACAGGTGATAGGCGTAGTTCACCTTGGACGGCAACTGGCTTCTGCCATGCATTTTCCCATGACAGTCGAGTTAGATCCTACATTACGTTGAGCCTTCCCTAATCTTACCATTACGTTAGTGCCAGATTAACTGATATTCATATTGAAGGGCCTCCGAGCGAAGGCTTCGGCAGCTCTGAATCGTCACTGGGTGTAGGTCTGTGTCAACAACTGGTTGGGTCACCCTTGTAAAACGACACAAAATTCTTAACCCCAGATCCCTTGCAACCTCTAACACTAACCCATCGACGCAAGTCGCTGCCGGCAGGGTAGCTATATCCATTTGCCAGCTCCGGCCACTGTGAGCCTGCGGCCCATTGTTCCCACGGGAAGGGGGTTGGGGTGTAGAGTTTCGGGTCTAAGTCTAGGGTTTAGGGGTTCAGGGTTTAGGGGTTTAGGGTTTAGGGGTGTTCTCCAAGGTGTTTCAGTCGGTGTCTCTGCTGATTGTGATTGGTCGGTCGACAGGGAGTCTGGGATGTCTGGGGTTTTGAGCTTTAAGAGGCTGTGGGACGCATCTCTGAAATCAAACGGTCGTCACAAGTTGTTTGTTGGAGTCAGGGATCAGGTAGTCAGATATTTGTGATTTGTCTGGAGACTCCCGCAGAGTCTCCGCTACCCTTCCGAACCGGAAAACCTGTATGACAAACCAGGAAAAAATCAACTTCACATCCTTGATCCGATGAACCAATTCTGCAGTCTGGCATCTGGGGTGTCGGGCCATACAAGGACCCCCCCCTACTTTCACGAAAGCCCTTCAGACCCTAAGCCCTAAACCGTAGACACCTCCCCAAAAGGCACTGGGCTTACCGGCCGGTCGGGCCGAGTGCCGTTGCCAATGCACGGTCTGGCGCTGGGGCACTCGGCTGACGGCCTGTTCCGTGGGTGGCTTCCTGCTCGGGGGTCCTACGGCCAAGGATCCTACAGTAGCACCTTGGATTTCTGTGGTCTTCGTCTCTGAAAGTCGTGTTACAGGTATTGCGGCTTGCTGCTGAACTCTTTAGTTTCAAATCCCAGCCGGAACCAAGAAAGTGCTGCAAGGCACGCGTGGTTTGGGCTTCGAGTTTAGGGCCTAAGCGGTGCTTGCATAGGGTTTAAAGGGATCAGATACTGGACTTCGAGTCCGATAGTAAACCCCCGGCAGCGCAACCGCAAACCGCAAAGCCTAGAGCTCTCGCAGCCTGACTATGAATGTGCGTAGAGCCCAAATCAACAATTTCTCCCTCAACCCAATTCCGCATCTGCCACCGGCAAAGGAGCACACGAAGGCACGCAAACAAGAAGAACTACTAATAAGAGCCATACTGAGAATGATCGTACCATAGATGAATAAAAGAAGATCCCAACCCAGTCTTAACAAACGAAGAAGTATAAAGCACACACCTAAGCCCTAAACCTTAAACCCTGTTTGACCGTTTTTGTTTGAGCTCGAGGCTGCGTCTAGAAGGGCAGAGCTTTCCGTTCTCCCTGAGTTTGGCCC